ACCGCTCGAGTCTTTCCTCCAACTCGAGCCACCTCGCCTTATGTCCGCGGAAACTCAGCTGCGTTTTCTTGACCTGCCGGAGCTTGTTTTCCAGCTTCCTCCATTTGCGAACCATCGATTCGTTAATCTTAAATTCTCTCGCCGCTGCTCGATTTCCATGTTCCTCCGCGTAGCTGATGGCCTTCAGTTTAAACTGTGCTTCGTAAGCGTGTCTCTTTGCCATTTTCAGGGTTGTTAAAACAACGATGTCCTGCATAATGCACATACCTGTTCTTTTATACAGGTATGTGCGATTGTCCCGGTATATACGATCAACGCCCACACTTCACCCTTTAACGTTCTCATGGTGTTCTCTACTACGTCCTCCTTACAACACATAGGGCGCACCGCGCTATAGGGCGCGCCGCACTTTTTGAAGAAAATCTAAGACTTTTAAGTGCGCCTTATGGTCGTGAAAATACGGTAATTGAGTATCTGAGGCTGAGACCACTGTACTGGACTGGACTGTAAAACATGATTGTTGGGCTTCATTTCTGTGCTGAACAGTCATTTAAGATTAGTTAGTAAATAACAATTAGCTTAATGTTGTTCATGAGACTAAAGTCATCTCACTGTGGTAATGTAAATATAATATGGCCAATATTATAGTATTGTCAGATTATTATGATATATATATATAAAAAAAAACACCCAGCACGCCCCTGCGGGCGGTTTATCCTTCAAGCTCGGGTCCTCTACCAGAGGCCTGGGAGCTTGAGGGTCCTGCGCAGTATCTTAGCTGTTCCCAGGACTGCGCTCTTCTGGACAGAGATCTCCGATGTTATTCCCGGGATCTGCTGGAGCCACTCGCCTAGCTTGGGAGTCACCGCACCTAGTGCTCCGATTACCACGGGGACCACCGTTACCTTCACCCTCCACATCCTCTCGAGCTCTTCTCTGAGCCCTTGGTATTTCTCCAGCTTCTCGTGTTCCTTCTTCCTGATATTGCTGTCATTCGGAACCGCTACATCATCACTACGGCCGTCTTCTTCTGTTTGTCTACCACCACTATGTCCGGTTGGTTAGCCACCACCATTTTGTCCGTCTGTATCTGGAAGTCCCACAGGATCTTAGCTCGGTCATTCTCCACCACCCTTGGGGGCATCTCCCATTTTGACCTCGGGACTTCCAGGTTATACTCGGCACAGATGTTCCTGTACACTATGCCGGCCACTTGGTTATGGCGTTCCATGTATGCCTTGCCTGCTAGCATCTTGCACCCTGCTGTTATGTGCTGGATTGTCTCTGGGGCATCTTTACACAGCCTGCACCTGGGGTCTTGCCTGGTGTGATAGACCCCAGCCTCTATGGATCTTGTCTCAGAGCTTGTTCTTGTGCTGCCATGATTAGTGCCTCTGTGCTGTCTTTCAGTCCAGCTTTGTCCAGCCACTGGTAGGATTTCTGGATATCAGCCACCTCCTCTATCTGCCGGTGGTACATACCGTGCAGGGGCCTGTCCTTCCATGATGGTTCCTCGTCTCCCTCCTCTTTCTTGGGTTTCTGCTGCCTGAGGTATTCACTGAGCACTCGGTCAGTTGGGGCCATCTTCCCAATGTATTCTTGGATGTTCGTTGTCTCATCCTGGACTGTGGTGCTGACACTCACCAGTCCCCGGCCCCCTTCCTTCCGCTTAGCGTACAGCCTCAGGGTGCTGGACTTGGGGTGAAACCCTCCATGCATGGTAAGGAGCTTTCTTGTCTTTATGTCAGTGGCTTCTATCTCCTCCTTTGGCCAGCCTATTACCCCAGCAGGGTACCTGATCACGGGCAGGGCGTACGTGTTGATGGCCCGGATCTTGTTCTTACCATTCAGCTGACTCCTCAGGACTTGCCTGACCCTCTGCAGGTACTTGGTGGTTGCAGCTTTTCTAGCGGCCTCTTCATGGTTCCCATTCGCCTGCGGGATCCCCAGGTACTTGTAACTGTCCTCTATGTCTGCAATGTTGCCTTCTGGTAGTTCAATCCCCTCAGTTCTGACTACCTTCCCTCTCTTTGTTACCATCCGACTACACTTCTCCAGTCCGAACGACATTCCAATGTCATTGCTGTATAGCCTGGTAGTGTGGATCAGTGAATCGATGTCTCGTTCACTCTTGGCATACAGCTTGATGTCATCCATGTACAGGAGGTGGCTGACAACTGCTCCGTTCCGTAGTCGGTATCCGTAGCCAGTCTTGTTAATGATCTCACTGAGGGGGTTCAGGCCTATGCAGAACAGCAGTGGGGACAGAGCATCTCCTTGGTAGATCCCGCACTTGATGGTGACTTGTGCTATGGGCTTGGAGTTGGCCTCTAGTGTTGTACGCCACATCCCCATTGAGTTCCTGATGAAGGCTCTTAGGGTCCCATTGATCTTGTACAATTCTAGGCATTCCAGTATCCAGCTGTGGGGCATTGAGTCATAGGCCTTCTTGTAATCAATCCAGGCAGTGCACAGGTTGGTCAGTCTGGTCTTGCAGTCTCGGCTGACTGTTCTGTCTACCAGTAGCTGGTGTTTTGCGCCTCTGGTATTCTTGCCAATTCCTTTCTGTGTCCCACTCATGTATTGACCCATGTGCCTGTTCATCTTAGCCGATATGATGCCTGACAGGAGCTTCCATGTAGTACTGAGGCAGGTTATTGGTCGGTAGTTGGAGGGGACCGGTCCCTTCTTGGGGTCCTTGGGGATCAGGACCGTCCGACCTTCGGTTAGCCATTCCGGGTGTCTCTCGTTAACTAGCAGCTGGTTCATTTGTGCTGCCAGACGCTCGTGGAGTGCAGTCAGCTTCTTTAGCCAGTAGGCGTGAACCATGTCGGGCCCTGGTGCTGTCCAACTCTTCATACTGGAGACCCTTTCTTGGATATCTGCCACTGTGATGGTTACTGGACCCTGTTCAGGGAGGTCGCTGTGGTCTGCCCTCAGATCCACTAGCCACTGAGCATTGCCTTTTTTCTTTTTTATCCTTTATTTATTTATCCTTCTTATTTCATTGTACTGTATATTGTTACTCTTATTTGCCTTGTATGTCTACTGTACAAACTGAACTGGAATGACTGACTGTTCGCTTTATAATTTCAATAAAGTTTGGAAAAAAAAACCCTCTTCGGCCGCTCCCTTCTGCCGTATTTTGCGGCAAAATTATCCACACCCACCGCCGCGCTATGAATTGTGGGATATATGGGACCACGAAGCGTGCACCGGACCACGCTTGATATTTGGGGAAATCGACGGCGCATTTGGAGTATGCATTTGAAGTACACTTCGAATTGGGACAGCCGTCGTCGCGTGGCGGTGACGTAACCGCACTTAAAATGCGTACTTCAAGCGTGCAGACCCTGAATTGGGACACAGCCTCACTCACCCCCTCCCTCCTGGCTCACAGCTTCTTCTTCTTCTTGGTTGGCAACCAATGTTAAGGCGCATTACCGCCCCCTGGCTCACAGCTCAGTGGACATTTAGATGAGAAAATATATATTTAACACATTTAAGGAAAATACTAATAAAATAAAAATAAAAAAATAAATGTTTATTAAGCAATTTTGATAGGAAATTGCTTAATTTTAGAAATGTTTTTGCTCTTTTTTGCTCTATAAAATAGTTGTTTTCTTTTAGAATCATTCATCTTAGCAGTAGGATTTACATGAAAAGAGAAACAAATTAAGTTTGAGTGAAAATGTACATTTTTTGCACTCTCTGGTCAACTGACTCAGTGAATCAAATGACTCAAAAAAACCATTCACTTTGGTGAGTGACTCATTAAAACTCGATTCAGTAAAAAGAATCAAATTTACCATCACTAGTGTGATAATCGCCTTAAATGCGGCTTTAAGGCTGCAGACCCTGAATTGGGATACAGCCCAAATCCGGTCATTGGCTGTATCCCAATTCAGGGTCTGCAGCCTTAAAGTACGCATTTCAAGGCCGATTACGTCACAGCGGCGCGCCGAAGGCTGTCCCAATTCAAAGGCTGCTCGAAATGCGGCCCTGAAATGCGTCCTTCATTTCCCTGAATTTTAAGGCTGTGGCAGTGTAGACTTCGTGGCCCAACATATCCCAGAATGCATAGCGCGGCGGTGGGTGTGGATAATTTTGCCAAAAAAAAACGGCGGATGAGGGGCGCCCGAAGAGTAAACTTTAAGTAAGTACTGAATATTATGTCACTTATTTATGTGCAAATGTTTAATAACGAAGAACATTAAAACATTACTGTTGGCCACATGTCGGCAAAGTTATGTGACATTAGTGACGTTTGTACTAACTTGGTTTTAAAGCCTTTACTTTAAAATATACGCCGTTCAATAGCTGAGCTTAATCTTACAGAGAATGATCAAAGCTCATGTAGAAACAAACAAACAAATGAACAAAAGATTTTCTCCTTCATTTCTGTCAAACAAAGCTGTATGACACGTTTCCAGCTGTTAGTATCATGGTTGCTAGGCAACCTGGGCAGCGCAACGGAGGCTAGACCGTCCCATTTCACAAGCCTCGCACTTCCGGCCTTAGCGGTCTTTGAGTACGCGGCCCTTGAGGATCGTTGAGGCTGCGTACTTTAAGGCTGCAGACCCTGAATTGAGATACAGCCATTGGTACGTCCTGGCTTGTGTAGTTACTAGGTAACAATAGCTCAACACTGCCCCTAGCGTCCTGGAGCACTTCCGTTGTGTTTTGGAATTTGCATGTGTTTTGGGTTTGCATGTGTTTTGGAGTTTGCAAGTGTTTTGGAGTTTGCATGTGTTTTGGAGTTTGCGTGTTTTGGAGTTTGCAAGTGTTTTGGAGTTTGCAAGTGTTTTGGAGTTTGCGTGTTTTGTATTTGCAAGTGTTTTGGAGTTTGTACGTGCTTTGTCTCTAGGGGCCACCGTAGTTACATAATGACATGATGAGTTTATTGAAGAGGACTTTTTTATGTATATTAGTGCTGATAAAATCTCAAGTGATGAAGTGAAGATTTTCACAGACTGATAACATCATATATTTTATCCAAGGTGGACTGGCAGCAGTGATCTACACGGACACTTTACAGACCTTTATCATGCTTATTGGATCATTCATTCTGATGGGCTTTGGTAATATGAAAAATTTTACATACAAATTATTTGTTGGAAAGTTTAAATAAAAGTTGATCTAATTCACATGATTTTCCTCAGCTTTTAATGAAGTGAAGGGATATGAAAACTTTGAGAAACTCTACATGCAAGCTGTCCCCTCAATCACGGGTAACATCAGTGCAAACTGCTATGAGCCCCGGCCAGACTCCTTCCATCTCTTCAGGGATCCACTTACAGCAGACATCCCATGGCCTGGTCTCGTGTTTGGACTCACTATTCAGGCTATCTGGTACTTTTGTACTGATCAGGTGAGTTAAGCAAATAAGCATTGGGCAGCTCAACTGCAGTTTTCAGCAACCAGTCTGTAGTCAAAAACCGAGACAAATTCAGCTGATTGCCTCGGTGTGTTCATATATTCATGCTAGACTGAATTTAAATAAGGAGAGAACAATTGGAAGAAATTCAGTTAAGTTATGTAACCTAGAGGTGGTGAAGAAAATGCAGATGGAGTCTTGGATCCAGCTATGAGTAAACAGGGTGAAGCAGAGATGAGGAGGACCTGGGCTGCATGAATAGGAATCATAAAGGCAGAATGACAGACAAGCACTGAGATTTAAAAGTATGCAGAGAGGAGAGTAGCAAGGAGAGGGCAGGGGAAAATGATTGGACTAGAACAAGGATGTCAGGACTCAGTCTGATGTGGGAAGTGGATGTAAAGAATATACCGAATGCCCGGGAAAGCAGGTAGATGAGTGATTATAGATCTTCCTCATTAATCTTACGTGTAAAGTCATTTCAATAACAAAAGATTATTTGAAAGAACTGAACATAATTTACAAAGATACAGAATTCAATTAAGTTATTTGGCAATTAGGCTATTGATCAATGGTCTTTAATCAATGGTCTTTGATCAATGGTCATAACAATTTGCATATTAATGATCAAGAAACTAACCTCATAGCCCATTGTTCATTCAGTGGGCTAGTTTCTGTCATTGTGCCAATGTACTGTGTATAAGGTTGGGCTCTAGTGTGGTGGCAAAATAAAAACCTAGAAACTTGGCTTGATACAAAGTACACTACAAGGCCGAGAATCCTGCGTGGCAGCCTGAAGAACATAACAGAACATTTCATAAGCAGTGACTGGTGTTGTGGTGCTTGCGGTGCGCACTAGAGTGAGAGAGAGAGAAAAGGTGTTGGTGGGTGCATAGTTTGGGCCAGAGGTTATAGTGACTACTGACATGGAGTGTCGGAGTGGCTTACTTGGGCAGAAAGACGTTTAGGCTCAGAGGGGGAGGCAGAGGTCCGAGTGGGTGGCAGAGGAATGACCTGAGCTTTCTAGGCCCCTGTGTGGGATGGTGATAGCAGCAGGGCAGGCAGGTAGTGCGGTTGGTGGTACTCCCTGGAGTGTGGCTGAGAATCCTGAGAGGTTTTGTGTCCAGAATCCATAAAGGTGAACCTTAGTGTTGGTGTCGTGGTGTAGCAGGCTGGTAGAGCTAGGAGAGAAGATGAAAAGGTAAGCATACAAGGACAGTGAAGCTGGCGATTAATACCCTCCATTAATTGGAAGAGGCAGGGAACCACACAGGTCACACCCAGCTGCTTGCACCCTCAAGCCCTTCCCCTCCAAGTCTTGAACAATTTTGTCTCATTGGTTACCTGCTAATTCCAGAGTAGGCATTTCCTTCTTAAAGTCAGGACATCAACAATTTCCATACCAGTCTTTTTATCACAATAAATCCACATCAAACAGATTAAAATGGATCCTCCCTCCAGTGTCTTTTGATTATTTTAAAAGCAACCTTCCAGGCTAAAACTATTTCCCTTTAAAATGTTAGCTTCTCTCACTGGAGTCTCCAATTTCAACTGGCTTCCCTGCTGCAACTGTGTCCTACAGATGTCGAGTGGAAAGCCAGTCTTGAATTTGCTATTAATGTTCATGAATGAATGAATCTAATAGAAAACTATAAGGCCAGGATCCCAGTGAACATTTTGATAGGAGGAAATATCCAGTAGGTCTCAAGCCAACTGAAGACCAGCATTCTTACTCAGATGCCATCAGTGAAAGAAACCATAGCATCAAGCGATCACCTCCACTGATGCTCTTCCGTGTTAGGAGCCCTTGAGTTTTAAAGGTGATATGAGGACTTAAAATCACTTGAGAGTGAAATGGATCTCTTTTCACTTGCAGTGTAGATAATGCATCCAGTGATGTTCAGCTTCAACCCATTGAACTGCATTCTGATTCAGTCACAGGTTTCACCTCATAAGTTGACCAGGTGCAAGTTCCCAGCAGAAACATGCTCACTGTATGATTCAGGGTGAAAGGTCTTGTACCTGGGGAGCAGGTGTGAGCCTTCAGCCTAGAGAGAAAGATAAGCAATTCTCCTAAACTGATGAGCCAGTGCGTTGGACTCTGCAATGTGTATGACAGACTGTCAGATGTGGTTTACATGGTGTGGCTGGTCGAATAGAAAAGGGTGGTTGTGCTCCATCGTGACTGTCATGCACTCAGGGCTCCAGCACTAACCCTAGACTCTCAACCCAACTTGAGAGACCACTGAGAAATCTTCTAATCTGACTCAACGACAGTGTCACCTCCCCCAACATCTCAAAGATTTTGACACAGACATGTGGGTTGTTGGGGACAGCTAACCACCTAGGTGAGGGCTGTGTGGAGTGTGGGAGTGTCTAAATGTAATTTCCCATCATGCCTCTGGAACACTGTGTTTCATATTGAATTTAAGAAATTTATGTTTACTGTTATGGTAACCGGCTGGAAGTACAGTGTTAGTATGCTTTTTAAATGCAGAATAAAAGAGCACAGCCTTTGGAGTTGTAGGGTTTACAGCAGTATTTGAAGATTCAGTGCCTCCTTGTGAGTTTCTTGCTGTCTGATTTCTCAGCTTGTTGCAATACTTCACATTGAATCTGGCTCTATGAGTAAATGTATTTTGTTGCTTACCACCACTGAATTGTACTACAATTGTTTCCTAATTGTAGGTGATTGTGCAGCGCTGCCTCTCTGCCAAGAGTCTCTCTCATGTGAAAGGAGGTTGTATCCTATGTGGATACCTGAAGATACTGCCCATGTTCCTCATGGTTTTCCCCGGGATGATTAGCAGGATCCTGTACACAGGTGAGTGTGGTGTGTGGTTTTAAGAGTCTGTTGTATGTAACTTATGTAGCAAGCTTACTGGTATATTTAAAGTTGTGATAAACTGAAATACTGTGGATTTTCTTGCCTTTAATCTAGATGTGGTAGCATGTGTGGATCCAGATGAATGTGAAAAACACTGTGGGACCAGGGTGGGCTGCAGCAACATTGCTTATCCGAAACTGGTCGTGGAACTCATGCCTAAAGGTTGGTGACCTTTGTCTTATTAACTTTTAATAATTGCAGATTTTTTTATATTTCTACTTTTTAATCTGTTACTCTATTTCAGGCTTGCGAGGTCTTATGCTGTCTGTGATGCTGGCCTCTTTGATGAGCTCCCTTACCTCTATCTTCAACAGTGCCAGTACTCTCTTCACCATGGACATCTACACTAGAATCCGTCGCTCTGCTAGTGAGAAGGAACTCATGATTGCTGGCAGGTAAAACACATTTTTGCCATTGATTGCAATGAGAAAAATGATTGCATTGCATGACTGATTGCATTTTTTGTACAGAGTTTTTATCTTGGCCCTGATTGGTGTGAGCATAGCATGGATTCCTATGGTGCAGGGATCCCAAAGTGGTCAACTCTTTGTCTACACTGAATCCATCACCAGTTACCTTGCCCCACCTGTTGCAGCTGTCTTCTTGCTTGCCATTTTTTGCAAACGTGTCAATGAAACTGTGAGTTGCCTCCTTCAGTGTTTGCTTGACTTTTTCATGAAATAAGAAAGAAATCTGTTCTTCACTGTCGTTTTGTGCAGTGAAAGAATCCTTCACATACCTCTGGGATTTAGTCAGGAAAATGTTATCAAGAGCAAAGCTTTTGTCATTTGTCGCTTGGGGAAAAACTTTTTATGCCGAGTGTTAGGGATAAATGATTAAACCAATCTGTAAGTCTGTAGAGAAAAATAAGACAAATAGTTCATAGCTCGGCTCAGTAGATGGACTGGGAATAAAATAGAGCTGTCAGAGTGCTTCTTGGCAAAAGTAGTTATTTCCACCCACAACCACTGAAAAAGTTCAATTAATAAATTGTTTAATCATTCCAGACATCCCAGTAGGTCCTGACCAAAAAATAGTATTACACTTGGGCAAAAGTGGTAAATATTCCTTCATGAACTGTCCAACTACTTTTTGTAGACACATTTTTTATATTTTGGATCTGTACATGTACACAGGATGCATGTTAGCTAACAAGAGTTACAAATGCTGGTATGTTAATATACTGTAAGAATCATGATTCCAGCTTCCTGTTCAATATGCATCCAAATGTAGCGCTGATTCAATCTCACTTTTAGCAAGAAGCATTTATCCAAAACTATTTCTTCAAACACAATATTATATAAAACATATATATGTTGCTATCTATTACTATTTTACTATATTGTATTTATTTACCATTTTTAAAACCTTTAAAGTTTTTAAAAGTATTTCGATATAAAGTAATATTTGTCCTTTTTTCTTTCTTTCCACAGGGTGCATTTTATGGCCTCATAATTGGGCTGTGTATGGGCTTGAGCAGGATGATTACAGAGTTTATTTATGGGACAGGTAGCTGTGCTATCCCCAGTAACTGTCCCACTATCATATGTGGAGTTCACTACCTTTACTTTGGGCTCATTCTGTTTGTCATCTCCGGCATCGTCATGCTGGCAGTGTCTCTCATGACCAAACCTATTGACGACAAACATGTAAGTTTTTATTTTAAGACACCAAGATACCAATGCACCTATAATATTTTGTACTTGATGCTAGCCATTCATGCTGATTGACACCCTACCATATACTTTCTCCACATCTACAACACCTCCTGACCTCTCATGATCCTGTCTGACACTCTCTTCACCTCTACAACAGTATACACATACTCTTACAGGGCTCTACACTAACTTTTTGCTTTTTGCCAGTTGCACCAGCGCCAAAGTTAGGCACACCCACATTTTTCAACCGCATTGCTTAACACCACAGTTTTAGATGTGCACTTTTTTTTTGGGGGGGGGGGAATTGCAGTCC